GGGATCTCAGCTCACTGCAACCTCCGCCTCCTGGGTTCAAATTATTCTCCCTCCCCAGCCTCCTGAGGGCCTGGGATTACAGGTGCCCGCCACCATGCCTGGCTAATTTTTGGCTGGGCACAGTGGCTTATGGCCGTAATCTCAGCACTTTGGGAGGCGCAGGCAGGCAGATCACTTGAGGTCAGGAGTTCAAGACCAGCCTGGCCAACATGGTGGAACCCCATCTCTACCAAAAATACAAAAATTAGCCGGGCATGGTGCCAGGTGCCTGTATAATCCAAGCTACTCTGGAGGCTGAGGCCGGAGAATTGCTTAAACCCAGGAGGTGGAGGTTTCAGTGAGCCGAGATCGTGCCATTGCACTCCAGCCTGGGTGACAGAGCAAGACTCCCATGTCAAAAAAAAAAAAAAAAGAATATTCCTATCTCAAAACTCATAGCAAGCTATTTTCCTTTAAGCTCTAGAAAGTTTCTTTGAAAGGTATGAAAATTCTGTCTCATGACTCCTAGGGATATGATTTTACATTGACAAAATTATAAAATGTTATGGTGGTCTAAAGGGACACGGTGTGTAAAGTATTTGATAATGACTAAGCCAAGCTTTTTATCTTCTAGGTCTTACTTGACTGGATGATGAGAATTGGGTACCACACATCTCTATACAGCCTTTCTACTTCCTTTCCCAGACGGCCTCTGGCAGTGGAGGGGGGCCAGTCGCTGGAGGACGTAGGAATAACTGTGGACACTGTGCTCATCCTGGAGGAGAAGGAGCAGACCAACTAGGAAAGAAGTTTGAGACTAGCCTGGGTAACATGGCGAAACCCAGTCTCTACATGCTCCCTGTTCTGCTTGAAGTCAGCTATGCCATCACCTCCTGGCACAATAAAGGCTTCACATTAAAACCACACCATACCTTGATTGAGCTCATGGCAGTAAACATTGAACATTGATATCCATGGGAATAGGATTAGAAAAGGATTGCTTTCTGCACATAATAATCTGTGGACTGTGCCATTTTACAATGTACCAAATGAGAACGAGGTAAAAATGTATGCAGTAAGGCACTCCGTAATTGCTATTTTTTCCCAGCTGACATGATTTCTCAGTGTTAGAAAACAAACCCATAGAACTTTGCTTTCTGCCTCTTCAATCTGTCTTACCACACAACATTTCATGATTCAGTCAAATTCTTCAAAGTCTTATAAGCAGGAGTGTTTATTCTGCTGTATTTCTGTGAAATTGAAAACTTGGAAGAAGCTTCAAAGCTCTTGGAGGCTTTAAAGTTCTTTCTGATGGGTATGCATTACAGTTGACTTAACTAATGTTTGCGATTTATATAATTTTGACTTGTATTAAATGTTATATTTACAAAGTTCCAAATGAATCAGTATTTTTAAAAATAAAACTATGAAAGCATTAAAATATAGGTGAATTTTAAAAAATGTATCTGATCATTTCCCTCTCCTGCTTATAAGGTTATAATGATAAAGTCATGCACTGTTCAGACTCCAAGTGTGGTTATAAAAGGCTTTTAACTTTGTTCTACTCACTCCTTTTTTCTTTTCTCATGCTCTGTTTTAAGTCTGCTCAGGCCTGGTGTGGTGGCTCACGCCTGTAATCCCAGCACTTTGAGAGGCTGAGGCGGGCGGATCATGAGGTCAAGAGATCGAGACCAGGCTAGGCACAGTGG